GGGGGAGGGGTCCGGGGGGGGCGCGTGCCCGCCCCTCATGGAGCAGCTTGTGTTGCGCGCCGCGGCGGGGCCGAAGTGAGTCGGTTCACGGGAACGCGCGCTCGACGGGAGCACGCGGTATCCAAACTCGACCCGGGGGCGGCAAAGGAAAAGCGCGCGAGCGGCCTTGGCGCGCGCGCGCCCCACCCAAGGGCTGTTCCTGTCTCCGCGTCACCCTCCCGTGGCAGGCGGGTCTGCCCGAGAGCAGGTGGTAGGGATGCCCGCGCCCAGGAGGGACTGGGACGGCGGGGTCCGGCCGCGAGCGCCTGAAATTAGGGGATTGCTGGCCCGCGCTTCACTGAGCGTACACCACGGAGGCCACGGCCCTGCCTCAGAGCGAGCGAGCGCATGAAGCGAGCTGGGCTCCCCGCCGTATACACCCTGCAAAGGCTGGAACGGCGCTGTCGCTTGGCGCGTGCGCACACGCTCAGGTCTGGCCGCTCGGCCCAGAACCCTGGACAAGCGGGGCCTTCGGCTTTCCCGGATGGGCCCTGAGGGTGGAGCCTCGTTTAGGGAAGTGACCCAGGCGGGCACCGCCCGGAAACCTCCCCGCCCCGTGTTCGGCCCCAAGGCTGCGAGAACCGGAGGTCTTGTAACTTGCCAGGGTGGCTGATATGCCGGCCGGCAAAGGCGAGTCTTCGGGGTTGAGACCCTGTAAGTGCTGCCGCCTTTGGGTAGGGTTTCTCTCGGAGGAGGCTGAGCCGAGCTGATGTCTTTCCTCCGCCTACTCCGGAAGCGGCTGAGTCACGTGGTCCACTTCCTCTGCAGTTCCGGGAGGGGGGCGAGGCCGATTTCGCCGTGGACAGCCCGTTCCGGGTGTCCCCCAACACGACCCACCATAGAAGTTTGGAGGGCTTTGAAGTACCGTGGGCCCTTAGCTTGGCCTGTTTACTTTTATCGACGACCTTTGGGCCTGTATTTTTTTCCAGAGGACAGGGAATTGTCGGGTAGGGCCGTAATTAGGGGTTGTAATTTTTGCTTTGGTTGAGGAAAACCCCAGCAGAGAAGAGGATAATTTGCGTAATAACTGTATTGAGCAGTTCTGATGAACTTTTCAGAACTGTTGAGCACAATTGGTGTCCCATCTAGCATGGTGGGGTGTCTGTGGCCCCTCCGTCTGTCTAAATCAGCACTTCATCCAAAGGCTGAGATTGAGTGCTGTGAGTAGGAAACGAGTCACTAGCCTGTGGAGTCTTGATTCTGCGCTAATGTCTCAGCCAGGGCTCTGCTTCCCACCGGCCTGTAAGATGTCGGGGGAGGAGTGGTGCTGAATTAGGTGATCAGAATTCTCCATGGCTGCTGCTCTGGCGTTGTGTCCCATCTGGTTCTTTGATAGTGGCTTGGGTGGGAAAATAGGGTCACTTGTTTTGGGAAGGGGATTAATGACCTCTTGGGGCTGAGGACTATCCTATTTTGGCATCCAGACAGAACTAAGAAAGCAAAGGAGGGACTTCAGGGGGAGTCCCAGAAATATTCCTTATGTGTGTGGCTTGTCCCCCCCAGGCCTCTGGTGTGGCTGTCTCTGATGGAGTCATCAAAGTGTTCAATGACATGAAGGTACGTAAGTCCTCAACACCAGAGGAGGTGAAGAAGCGCAAGAAGGCGGTGCTCTTCTGCCTGAGTGAAGACAAGAAGAACATCATTCTGGAAGAGGGCAAGGAGATCCTGGTAGGTGATGTGGGCCAGACAGTAGACGACCCCTACGCCACTTTCGTCAAGATGCTGCCGGACAAAGACTGCCGTTACGCCCTGTATGACGCAACCTATGAGACCAAGGAGAGCAAGAAGGAGGACCTGGTGTTTATCTTCTGGTGAGCTCCTCAGTGCAGGCACTTATCTGTGTCACCTGTCCTAGCTCTGCCCTACCCTTTCTCAGGATGGGAAATCTGTGGCTCCTGATTAACCAGAGGTGTGTGTTTTGGGGGAGGGAGAACACTTGTCGATGAGGAACTTGATAAAAGCTTGAATGCTCGGAGCTAGCCCAAGTGTTTTCTGGAAGTCCTCTATAGTTTGAGGACACTTCCCAGACTCGGAGGGGGTTTTGCTGCAAGTTTTCTATTTCCCTCCAGGGCTCCTGAGTCTGCGCCTCTTAAGAGCAAAATGATCTATGCCAGCTCCAAGGATGCCATCAAGAAGAAGCTTACGGGTAAGGGCCACATGTGCTTCTGCTCATCTTGGCTGCAGGGTGGGGTACCTGGCATGGCAGAGGTGGTTCTGGTCCCTCTTTCCTGCCTGTCCCTTCCCTTTCCATCTGTTCTGATTGGCTCCTTCCCGGCCATAACATTCCCCCCTTTTCCCCACAGGGATCAAGCATGAATTACAAGCAAACTGCTACGAGGAGGTCAAGGACCGCTGCACTCTGGCAGAGAAGCTGGGGGGCAGTGCTGTCATCTCCCTGGAGGGCAAGCCTTTGTGAACCCCCTCCAGCCCCCTGCCTGGAGCATCTGGCAGCCCCAGACCTGCCTGTGGGGGGGTTGCAGGCTGCCCCCCTTCTGCCAGACCACAGGGGCTGGAGGGATCCCAGCAGGGGGAGGGCAATCCTATAAATGGAATGTTGTGAAGATAACCCCTCCCCGTGCTGCCTGGTTCCCCTCCCCTTTTCCACCTGGTCTCGGCCACTCGTGGAAGCAGGACCAGTAAGGGACCCTTAATTAAAAAAAAGGAAGAAAAACAACAATAAAAAGCCTCACTTAATTAAAGGTTGTTTGTTTCAGGATTGGGGTCCAGGGGATCTTGGGGCAATAGGCTAGGAGAATGAGCAGAATCTTTTCTATACCTCTGCCCTGGCATGTTTGGCTCAGTGGATAGAACATCAGCCCTTGGACTGAAGGGTTTAGGGTTTGATTCTGGACAAGGGCACGTACCTCGGTTGCAGGCTTGGTCCCTGACCCTGGTTGGGGTGCATGGGGGAGGCAACCAATCTATGTGCTTCTTGTATTGATGTTTCTCTGTGTCTCCCCACCTTCCTTCCACTCTGTCTAGACATCAATGGGAAACATATATCCTCGGGTTAGCATTAACAAAAATTTTTTAAAAATAATCCTTACCTCCAACCAGCCCACACCCGCATCTGGCCTCCGTTACTGGCAAAGTCCCTTCTGACAATTGCCACTCATGCTACAGGTGGTGTCACAGCTGGTACCAGACTGGCTATTTAGGAGGTACCTGAGCCAGGATATATCTGCAGGGGGCCTTCCCGCAAAAGGGGCTTTATGCCTGAACTGCTTTCTTCTATAGCCTTGACCCTGGTGGGTGACAGGGCAGTGAGGCCCCTTCTCTGATCCCGTGCTCAGTCCTTCCCAGATGTGGGCTGTGAGATGGCAAGTCACAGGTTACCCTTTGAGGTACGTTCTCCGCCTTCAGGATTTTTTGCTGTTTTCTCTCCCTTCTTCCCTGAATGGCTGACTTATTTATGAGGGCTAGGTCTAGTGGCTGCTATGAGTCAGAAGCCAAGTTGAGCCTTTGGCCTGCTGTAAATGTGGCTGGAGTCCAGGGTGGGGCTAACCAGGTGGAGCTCAGGACTTCAGACCCAGGTGTCTTGGGCTCTGCCTTTCTGTTTAATCAAGAGGGGTGTTGGCTAGAGGTTGAATCCTTTTGCCAGCAGTGTTGTGGGTTCTCCAACCTGTAATTTAGGCTTTAACCTGCCCAGCAGGTAAAGGTATCCTAGAAGTCCTAGGCATGGTAATGTGGAATTTATACCCCCCTCCATTCCAATCTAAAAACCTAGAGTTGGACCTGATTCCTTGGAACTTGCCAGTATCCGTGGGAGGCAGGAAGGGGTAGTTCCATTTTACTGTTTAGAAAATGGGTATAGAGGATTTATCTGTGGTCCATTCCTTGACTGGCCCTGGATTCTAAGTACTGGGTCTTGCACCTTCCCATGGAGTCTGTTGGTTCTCTGGAAAATGGCTGAGGATGCTTGTGGGGTGCTCCCTGTGTTCCCCCAGGATCTGGTCTCCATAGTGCCCTGGTAGAGGGTGTGCCTGGTGGGCCCTGAAACTGGGAAGTAAGGGTAAAAGCAGGCCTCTTCGTTACAGACCAGGCTCTCTTTATGAACGGGCTGCTCTGCTTGCTTGTGGACAAGTATGGTACCCACGCTGCCCTGTTCTCTTGCAGGGCCTAGCACCTGGCATGGGTGGGGCTTGGGCATGCCTGCCCTGGGAGGTTCTGGGCATGGCCAGTGGCTGCTGTGGGTGGGGAAGGAGGCATCTTGCTGGGGTGGGAGGTCTGGGAGACTTGTCATTAAATGTCTCAGAGCAGGATCTGGCTGCTCTAAGGCTTCCCTTTGAGGGTGACAAGGGTGTTCCAGAGAACAGTGTGATAGCCTGCAGAGGAGAAAGGTCCTAGATGTCCCTGCCTGTGCCACCATGCTCCCTGAGACAGGGTGTTGTCTTCATGTACCTCAGATCACCCCCCCCCCCCCTCCCTGCCTCAACAGTAACAGTTGCCATTTATTGAGGGCTTTGTTAAGGGCAGGGTCCTGGCCCCAGATTGGGAAACGTTGCGCTGAACCTCAGTTGGGACTGCTCAAGGCTGCTCTCAGACACTTGGAAAAGAACTTGGAGGGTTGGAGGTGAGGTAGCAAGAAGGCTCAGTGAGGCTGGAGGGCTCACCGTGGTATGCTTGAGCTCCAGCTCCGCCAACTTTGTGGCAAGAGGCGACACGGAGGGACTTGGTGTCCATGTCTGGAGGGGCAGGGAGAGGAATGGCATGGCTTTCAGTCCCCATCCCTGGTTCCTCGTGCGTGCCTTGGCATTCTCAATTGGCCAGGACCCCCAGCCACCGGTACAGCAGGTCCTGGGGCCAGCAGGCACACAGGGTCACTTGCTCACTGCCCTTCCCTCCCTGGCTGCTCTAGTCCCACTGGCCTCTAGCCCTGAGGTCTGCTCTGGGGCCACCTCACCTTGGCTGCCTGAGTCTCCTATGTATCGCACCATGTCTGACAGCTTCAGGCTCTTGTCTGAGGCCACTTGGCCCTCCATCTTGTGAATCAGGAAGGTGGCTGGAGAGGGAGCTTGCTGCGGAACAGCTAAGGGTTGGGGGCTACTACTCAAATATCCATCATCACTTGATAACTATTAGGTGAAACCCTGATGTTCAGGAGAGCAGGCCAGGGAAGGCGTCACATACGAGGTGGGATCTGATCTGGATCTTGGGGGTTGAGTAGGACTGAGACAACAACCAAGGTTTTGCAGGTGTGCAAAGCTGGTATGTGCTTGGGTAGCAGGAAGCTCAGTGGGAACCCTTGGATGGCAGTGGCCAGTTTGTGCTTTATGTCTTGGGCAGTTTCTGGAAGGGACAGGGTCACTGAAGGGTCTTGAGCAGGGAAGAGATGTGGTCCAAAACATTTTAGAAAGACTGGCACACTCCAGTGACTCTTGGAGAAGAGTTCAGAAAGAGTAGATCTGGGGCAGGATGTTGGCAGCACAGTGCGGACTGCCAGAGGCACCGGCACATCCATGTAAATGCCTCGCCGGGCCCGTTCCCATCCTCCATCACCACACACACTTGAGGCTGGATCTCTGTCTCCACTCACCTCTATCAAACTAGTCTGGAGGATAAGTCATGCAGATTCTAAAATTATCCTGGAGCTTTACCCATTCCAGGATTCTTCCCTGCAAGGGATCTTTGTGTGGCCTTTCAATGTAGAAGGCAGTACTCACTCTTAGTCTCAAAGAATTCTGCCAATTTGAGGCATCTCCTAAGAGGCAGTGAGGAGGAGTTAGGGCAGGGGCCTTACGTGGCTGCTTAAAGCTTCCTAGTCCTTACCCCACCCCTGGGGAAATCTCCCTCTCCTGTTTCCCAACGCCCACCTAGAGCAGATAGATAGGTTTCCACAGATGAACCTTTAGAGAAAGGGCAGCAGGGGCGTGAGGGAATCCTCACACTTGTTTATATGTATCTTTATTGACTTCAGAGAGGAAGGGATAGAAACATCAATGATGAGAATCATTGATTGGCTTCCTCTTGCATGCCCCCTACTTGGGGCCAATCCCACAACCGGGGCATGTGCTCTGACGGGGAACTGAACCGTGACCTCCTGGTTCATACGTCAACACTCAACCACTGAGCCACGCCAGCTGGGCATTTCTCACCTTTTTAAAAATATATTTTATTGATTTTTTACAGAGAGGAAGGGAGAGGGATAGAGAGTTAGAAACACTGATGAGAGAGAAACATCGATCAGCTGCCTCCTGCACACCCCCTACTGGGGATGCACCCGCAACCAAGGTACATGCCCTTGACCGGAATCAAACCTGGGACCCTTGAGTCCGCAGGCCGACGCTCTATCCACTGAGCTAAACCGGTCAGGGCCATTTCTCACCTTTTTAGCTGGTTGACTTCCTGTGTTCCCAGACAACTAAGTGAAGGAATAGAATAGGAATAGAATTGTCTGCCAGGCTTCCATCAGAACCCATTGGTCTGAATGTCAAGCCTCACCTCTGGTGTTTGTGGCCATGGACAGTCACAGGGCATTCCCACTCGCTTCTCTCCTGGGGAACCAAACCACCAGGGAGAGGGGGCAGGGAATCCAGGGCCCCTTGGGCCCTGTGTACACTTGTGGGGGTGCATGACTCAGTCTTCTCACAGGCAGGCATCCCGGACGTGGGTGTGGTATTCCAGCAGGAAGGTCCTCTTGGTCAAAGAAGTCAACCACCTAAGGGAGTAAGATAAAATCCACTGTGACCCAAGAGCATGGCACCACAGACAACCAGGAGTGGCACAATCTTCCTCTAGGCCAGGCCCCACAGTGGCTTTCCTCCCACTGCCACCCTTAGCTTCGATCTTTCCTGTGGATCTAAGGCCCTGGGGTGAATCCAGAAAGCAGCCCCACGTGTCACCCTGAGCCCTGACATGCCAGTGATGAGGGCTTCATCTGCAGACTTCACAATGCAGTAGGTCCTTGGGTTACCTCAGAGATTCGTTCCCACAGCACGACATAACACGATTTTTGCCGTAAGTCAGAACCCACCTACCTAAACACCTACGTTACTCACATGCAGCACATACACAGCAGTAATGAAATGAAACAGTAAGAAAAATTTAAAAGAAAGATAACAATTCCTGACCTTTACTTGTGGTAAATCCTATATAATAAAAGCCTAACATGCAAATTGTCCGCTCAACCGGGAGTTCAACTGGGACTTAACCAGGTGGCGGCGGCAGGCTGCCAGGGGAAGGGAGGCCCCGGCCGGCAGCCGGCAGCTGCTAGGGACCCTACCTGTGTAAATTTAGTGCACTGGGCCTCTAGTAAATAATGAAAAAACATAAAAGCACATATGTACATACGTTGAAATGATGGAACTTTTTTTTTAATAAATAAATGGGGGATGGCAACGTAACCATGAAATGACATATGTCCATGCAGGATTTTGATTATATCAAATCCGACATAACCCAAGGACAGCCTGTATTCTTCAGAAAACCCCCAAGGATCTCCTTTCTGTTCTTTCCTCCGATACTAGCTGAGGCACACGTGGGGAGGGTATGATGGAGTGGGTATTTGCACCTCCCACCGCAGGCACATGCCACTGCAGAG